GGGGGTTGGCTGTCCCTGTTGTACACATAGGGAGAACGAGTCTTGGACAGGTGACTTGGCTCAAGGGTGTAGAGGTGGTTTGTAAGCCCAGGATGAGGCCCCAACCCTTGCCTGGCAGGCTCTGCTTGGCTGTCCAGGCTGGGGGTGACAGAGGAGAAAGAATCCAGGCAGTCGGCCCCAGGCTGCTGAGACAGCCAAGTGGCTCTGATGAGAAGCTACACAGAGCTGCTGGCCCGTGGGGCCCTGTGTTCACCTGCCTGCCACTTGGAATAAACAGCCAAGAGACTGAAGGTGCATATTAGGTTTCCAAAATAGCCTTGGGAGTTGCTATTTTTCTCAAAGCTGTAAACATACCCCTGGGTGAGGCCCCACACCCTCCTGGGGACAGACCTGGGGCCTTCTGATTCTTGGCTGGGTGTCCAGAGTCTTGGTGCTGGGACCTTCTGCTGGTTTATGGACATGGACAGGAGTCAAGTCCCAGAGGCTGAAGGCTAGATGGTACTGGGGAGGGGAGAGGTTGAGGAGCTCTGGGGGCTTGGCCAGGTGTGGTTAGCCTGGCTTTGAAGTGAGGGAAAAAAAAAAGGTAGCAAAGCTGGCCTGCTCTGTGGAAGCTGTGGGGAAACTGAGGCTAGCTGGAGGGGAAGGCAGGGAGGCCATATCCAAGGCCTTTGTGAGTCAGGGCTGCACTGTTGGATCTTCTAGGGAAGGCCCTGGCAGTGACCCTCGATGGGCCCTTTTTATCCAGCACCTACTGTGTACCAAGCTCTGTGCTGGGTGCTGAAGTTATAGCTGTGATCTAGAGATGGGCCTGACTTTGCACAAGCTTAGTCGGGGGATCGGCAGGTAACAGACAGCCTTAGTACCAAGTGACCAGAGCCTTGCAGTGCAAAGAGAGCCTCTTCACCCTGGAGGGGACACTATTTCATCTTGCCCCAACTAGCATATGGCTGCTTGCCCAAGGCTTGCTACCCACGAGGTGGGGCCTCTTCCTTTCAGTGGACAGTGGTTGGGCTCAGCTCTAGGAACCTGATCTCTCACCCTTGCTCTTTGTAGAAGGCAAAATGCCATCCACGAGGAAGGGCAGGATGAATGGAGAGAAGCATTTGACTTTTAGGGAAATGGAGGCACAAAATAATGCTGTTGTGGGAGCCAGGGTGAGCACCTGCGGATCCTGCTTTTGCTTGGCTCCTTGGGCAGCTGGGAGCCTGTGGTAGGGACTGGTGGGGAGCGTGGCTCCAGGAACCTGCGGCTGCTGTGCCCCGCACACATGGAGCCTGACCCCTCACACGCAGGCTTTAGGGGCACAAAACCTTTCCTAAGTCTGCCCCTTCTCACAGCAGCCACCGGGGTGACTGGACCCATACGCTGGTGGGAGTACACTGGGGTGCTCTTTGCTGTGTTGTTTAGATTGTTAGGAGTTGGCAGTGACCCACTAGACCCGTGGCACCACACTTGTCTGCTGAACCACTGGCTCCGGAGGGTGCTGCCGTGTGCTGTTAAGTGGGAAAAGTATGCTTGAGAACTACATATGGTTGGATCCCATTTCCACTTTTGAAAATCTTGTAAGAAAAAAAGAATCTCACAAGAGAAAGTTGGGAAGGACATGCTGCTGATGTCGGGGGTCACTCAGGGAAGGGGATTCAGGTGAAGTTTGAAATTTGTTTGGCTTACGTGTGTGTGTGTGTGTGTGTGTGTGTGTGTGTGTGTGTTTCTGTCTCTTCTGTCATCATTGTAAAACCCTCCTGCAATTTAGAACGGGGAAAATTGGCAGATGTTTCTGTCTTAAAATTTGAGTGGTTTTGACTTTTTGACTAAGTACACATGACATCATTCAGAATTAATCGTAGGACAGAGGAGAGTGCATTAGTCTGTTTTATGTTACTAAAACAAAATACACGAGGCAGGATAATTATAAAAATGAGATGTAGGGCTGGGGATGTAGCTCAGTGGCACCACGCCTGCCTGGCAAGTGTAGGATCCTGAGTTTGATTCTCGGTACTGGGAAAAAAAAAATAGAGATAGAGCCTCCAGTTTTGGAGACTGAAAAGTCCCAACAGCATGGTGAAGGGACCACTGGCTGTGTCACATCATGGAGGGGACACGTGAGAAGGAGCAATCGCAGGGTGAGTCAGGAAGCCAGGAGGAGCCAGGCCTCCTGCCAGGGTCCCATGAGAAGCCCCTTCTGAGGGCAGTGTCTCTCAGCATCATCACTCAGAGGACCACATGTCCAGCACACAGACCTTTGAGGACACGCTCAGACCACATGAAAGCTGGGTGTGATGGCAGAGCAAGTGCTTTTTGTCACCATGCGCAAGCCTCGTGGGTGGCCTCACTGGGAGGAGGTGGTGGCAGGCTAAGGCCTCTCTTTACCTGGTTCCGGGGCCCGGAGAGGTGAGTTTTCAGACAGACTGTGACTGACTGCACACATTTGGCGTTGAAATCAGGCATTTTCTGAGCAGTGAACTGAGGGTCATCCATAGGGGAGGGGATTCACAGGGCTGGGGGAGCGCTGTTTTACCGCCGAGCCGAGGGAGTCCGACAGACCTGGGTTTGAGTTGGAGCAAGCCTTGTCACCTGAGCCTCAGTGTTCTCATCTCTAAGATGGGAATGGTAACGTCTGGCTCCAGACCCGTGGTTGGGACAGGAGTAGAATGGTTTTTACATAATTAGTGTTCTGTTTTCTTTCCCAGTGAATGCAAGGTCTTCCCTTCTGGGAGGGCAGTGTGATGAGAGACACAGGAAAGTGGAAATTTATAGCACCCTGGGTGCCACGGTGCAAGCTAGTCCTGGGACTGGAATACCTGATGGGCATGATGGTTCACCCCGGGGAAGTCGTGGAAGGTCCCCGGGAGACGGCGAGGAAGGGGCACTCACGCCTGGAACAGGCTGGAAATGGTGCCCCGGAACCCCACAGCAGCCCGCAGTTTGGGGCGCTGATTCTTCTTGCACAGGATGCCCCCCACGTAACTGTCCTTCTGGGTGCAGCCTTGCTGGGTTGGGGGTGTCCATTTAGGAGTGGATTCCTCTTGGGCACACCTGAGAGAAGGCACCGCCCAGCCCGCCGCTCTGGATTACGGGTGTCTACCAACTGCCATTTCTCCAGAGGCGTTTTACTGTCCAATACCAGGTACCCTGACACTGTGCCCATCGAGTGGTGCATGAGGCCAGCTGGCTCTCCTGCCTCAGTTTCCCTGCTGCCGTGGTGGCCCTTGTGAGGATAGACCTCCAGGACCGAGCCACGACTGCTGATTGGTAGGGTTCATCTAGGGACACAGAGGGAAGACGCTGATGTTTCCTGGGTTTCGCTGGCAGGGGGGATCAGTGGGCTTAGTCTGTGGTTTCTCTCCTTTCCTTCACCCCCCCCCATGTGCTACGGTCACCCAGCCAGGCGAGGGACCATATCCAGGGTGTGCAAATGTCATGCCCAGAGGGATTCTTGGGGATCCCATCACAGATGGAGAAACTGAGGCCCAGAGCTGAGAAGGAACTTGCCCATGTCGCACTGAACTTGAAACACAGCCAGGACTTGAAATGGTCTGCTGCTGCCTCCCACCCAGTACCCTCTCCCCTGTGGGCATGAGACCCCTGTCTGCTCTGAGCAGCCTGGCCCATCCTTGCCTGCTGGCACCGTGGCTGAGGCTGCTGGTTCAGGTTAGGGCAAGCCTACGTGTCTGTAGGTGGTGGCTCCTTGACCAGACCCCATCACCTCCTCACAGCCTGCGCTCTGGCCTGCCCGGGCCATTACTGCCCATCGGTAATGGAAGCAGCTGCCCTGGTTAAGTGTTCACATTAAATTAATACTCCTCCTCCGTGGAGACAATCAGTTGGCATTTAATTTGTGTTTCCTTCCGAGAGCAGCAGAGTACAGACGGGCAGTTCCGATGGGCATGTCCGTGAGGCGTCCTTTCCTGGGAACCAGGGGCTGCGTGCAGATGGGGAGGTGAGGTGGGGGCGGGAGGGGAAGCCAGGCAGGAGGCCTTCCTGTTCACCTGTAGGATGTTTGAGCTTCCTGGCTGGCCTGTTTGGGGGAGAAGAAACGATCACCATACCCCAAGTGGGAGGAGGAAATTAGGAGGTTTGGGAGTCGCTGCTGCAGGATGCATCCCTGGTTGGTGGTGGGGGTTCTGTCCTTGTATTCCCAGCCCCGCTCGGTTTCCTTATCTGCGTTCCGACACCGACAGGTTCCTCCAAGGTGTGAAAGGGTGTGGTATGGAATGCGGAAGTTGATTCAGTTTGGGGGCTCCTTAGGAGGGCGCAACAGAAGCTGGCCGCACCCCATGGGAGAGTCCCCTGGGCTGCCTCTGCAGCAGCCCTTTCTCTAGTTCAGCACCCAGGCCAAGGCGCTGCCCACAAGGAGACGGGACAGCACCCTCAAGTTTGTGTAGGAGACAGTGCAGGGCTGCAGGGCTGCAAGGCAGTGGCACCAGCTGGGCAGGGAGGAGCGGAGAGGGCACAGGTCCTTGACCGACCCACCCATTGGGAAGGAAGCTATTTCCACCCCCACCAGCCCTCTGCCCAAGCCAGGCCCACCCTTGGCCCCGATTGAAGTTTTCCACTGGTGGCCCAGCCCAGCCTCACCTGAGCTGTTTCCTGGGCCCAGGAGTGCCACTGCTCCCCTCCCTGCGAGGCTCCGCCTGGCACCTGTGTGGGCGCCCCAGGTGGCTGCCTGAGGTGCAGTGTAGACGGAGCTGTGGAGTCTCAGCCTGCTGCTCTGTGCCAGGGTGGGGCTGGGTGTTTTCACCCCTTTCTTTCTCATGGAGTCTCCCACCTCTCAGGAGGAGTCTCGTGCTTCCCACCTCACTTCACTGGGGAAACGGAGGCCCCAGGAGGGCAGTTGACTTGTCCAAGGTCAAACAGCTGGGAAGGGAGGGGGAGGGTTGAAGTACCTGTGTCTGTCCCAGAAACTTTAATTATTTACCAGGTCTGCACTCACTTTCCTCCCAAGCGGGGCTCCTTTGACAGCACAGGAAGTGAAAACGCTGTGAGTCAGCCCCTTTGTGGGCTTCAGCTTGTTTCCGCCCTGCTTAGACCAACCTTCGCGGCTCTTTTCCGAGGTTGGAGCTGGGAAGCTGCCCCTCCCCCGCGGGCTTCTTGTCAGTCACGCGATCCCACGGTGGCTCCTGAGGAATGTGGGGATACCACAGGGGCCGGTGCTGCCGGCTCCCCATCCCGGCCACCAAACTCCCACATGTGCCTGGTTTGTTGAGACGCTGGCTGAGGCCCCACGGCTCACTGAGTGTGGTTCTGTGGAGCCACTTCCCCTCCCCAGTGCGTTGTCCTGATATCCCTGCGACCCCTCCCTGGCCCTGGAGCCTTGGTCCTGGGGAGAGGGAAGGCTGCTCCTTCTCCCTGCCTGCTTCCTGCCCTGGCCGCCCCTCCCCAGCCTGTCTCCAGGGAGAGGCTCTGGAGCGGAGCAGACGCGGGGAGGCCTGGCCTGTGCTGGGAACTTGGCTCCCCGGAGCCCCTGGCCTGGGAAGTGCAGCTGGGGAAAGAGGCTCTGGCTGGGAAAAGCGGGGGATGGGGGCCTAGGAATGAGTGCCGCTTCTGTCCTCCATCCATCCGTCCGTCCGTCCGTCCGTCCATCCACCCGGTAAATCCGCCGCCCATTCAGTAAATACCTCACTCTGACCAAGTGCCTGGCGGGTTTTAGGAGCAGGGAATATGGCGGGGAGCAGGGAGTGGTGATTATACCCGCTGAACGAGGCCTGGTGGGAGGCCTCAGCTTGATCCCCTGCTCCTCTCCTGTCCCACCAAGACCAGGGATCTCACTCACCCCTTGTTTCCTCTTTGCCCCATTCAACCAGAGCCCACGGTGCCCAAGACCTCCTGAGATGGGTACCGGCAGACCCTGGTGTGGTGGCGATGGAGGTGGCCTCCCTGTGTGGTCCTGGTGTCACAGGGCTGGCTCTTTGGAGCTAGAGCCTTGTGCCATGGGACAGTGTGGCCAGGCTGCCTGGAAAGACAGGGCAGGCCCCTCAGAACCCTGTAGTCCCAGGCAGGAAAACACTTGAAGTGTTTGCTGAGGCTTGGGGAGATGACATTTGAGACAAGCCTAGGAGAAGGGATAGGATTTCAGGAGGCAGAAGAGGAGGGAGGGAAAGGGGAAGGAGTTATCTAACCATTTCCTCATCTGCGAAATGGAAATAATCCTTGGCGGGCAGGGCTAGGGTGTAAATGACATTTTATATATATGTGGACAGGTGCCTAACTTGGCAGGCACTCCTAGAGGTAACAGTGAACATCCCTGTTCTCCCTTCCCTTATCCAACACTCGAAGGGAGAAGTTGGAAGGACTGAGCAGGTGGGTCAGGGTGGTCTGCTGGGGAGACCCTCACCTCATGCCCCAAAGGTGGTTTCTTTAAGGTCAACCCGGCCCTTCTCCAGCTCGAAGTCTCAGAGGTCCCCAGGGGCCCTTTTGGCCTTAAAGGGCCCAGGAATCAGAATCAGCCAGACCCGAGTTTGATTCCAGGCTCATCTTTTAGCATTGGAGTCTTTGGTCTTGGTGGTACCTGGGGCTAAGAGCAGGGAGGCCAAAGGCTCCCAGGAAACTGCATCCACCGACCCCAGTTCCCTGGCAGGTGCGCCCCCTCTCCGTGGGAGGCTGGCCTTGCCTTCCTGCTGTGAAGACGTTGTGCTGTTTCCTCTGCCCAGGACATCCTCCCACCCAAAACCTAACTGGGAGGGCAGGGCCAGGCAGGAAGGGATGGTGTTGGGGAAGTAGATGTTGAAACCTTGGAGCCAACAACTCAGCCGACCAGTTTTTGGTGAAGCTGGGTCCTCCCTTGCTCTGAGCTGAATTGCAGCAGATGTTGGGTGTTTGGGTGCTGCAGAAAAGACATCGCCTGTCTGGCCCCTCACCCTCCACTCCTCAGCACCTGAAGGGCAGAGGTTTTCTGCACTGTCAACACTGGCACTCGCTAAGCTGGGTGCTCCTGCCGTCACTGCGGGTGGGGACATCGTTACGGCAGTGGGCTCCATCTGCACGGCCAGCTGCCTGCCACACTCGAGGTCTGTTTTCCATACTCCGGGACAGGCGAGCCAGCTGCCCACCCAGCCCTGCTTTGGGAATAAAAGACCCATGAAGCCACTCGTGTGAGCTTGTCCTTGAGTGCATCCTGAGAAGCGTGCTGCAGGGGTTGGGCGTGGAACTCAGGGTGCAAGGAGTAGAGGGAGATGGAGGCACTGGATCGTGCCTCCCCGAACCTAGGTGAGGGCAGACCAGCACCGCTGGGGAGCCGTCCGCCCCACCCAGACCTGTGGAGTCAGGGTCTGCAGGGAACAAGATTGCTGGTAATCCCCACATCTCACACTCGCTGCTTTGGAGCCCGGCTGGGTGTGAATCCCAGCTCCCTGTGTGCAGCTGCGTGGCCTTGGACAAGCTGCTGCACCTCTGAATTTCAGCTCACTCATCTGCAAGATGGGTTTTGAGGAAAAGCCTGAAGAGGGTTACGAATTCACACTAGAGCAGATACGTGTGTGCACCTGTACAATAGGACCCAGACTGTGTTGGCCAACTGATGTTTGCTCTTAACTATCTGGAGGTCCAAAGTCATGGGCTCATTTCACCTTGTGTAGATCTGGGCAGGTGGTGGTTTTCCCTGTCTGAGCCTCACGTTCTCCAGCTGTGCAGCGGGTCTTCTGACCTCTGCCCAGAAGTAACGTTTTGCTTTGCCACCGTCCTATGGCCACCGCTCACCCCTGCTTCCCCTGCCATGAGACACAGCAGCAAGGCTGTCCCCAGAAGCCAGGCTGCACCTGCAGCGCCAGCCGAGTCCCCTACCTCGCCTCGGAGCAGCGTAGCCAGGAGAGATGATTCACCTCCTCCAGGGAAGCCCCAGATGCCCCACGGTGCTGGCCTGGGGTGAGAACGGGCCTGGGAACCTCTCCCTGCCCCCCACCTGTCCTTTTCTGCAAGAGGTGGCCGGGGTGGGCGGCTCTGCCCACTCCTGACATCGTAGGTGACTTTGGGGACATGGCTTGTACACTCTGAGCCTCAGTCTCCCTCTGCACAAGGGAGCGTGCAGGAAATAGTCCTGCCCTGCGCTCCCTTCACATCCTCTACATCTGCCAGTGCTGGCAGGGGCCCCTGCGCCTATGGCCTCTGGGTCCTGACGCTGAGCCCCACAGCAGGGGCAGGCTGAGGTGGGCTAACGTGGGGTTGGCAAAGACTGAGTGAACGGGGCCGGCCTGAGTCCTCCGGGGGCTGCCGGCCAGGCTGGACTGGTGTCGGGAGAGGAGGAATTTTCCTCTGTGTGTGCAAACAGTATCCATTTTCTCTTGTTTCCAAAAGCTGGTGACGTAACCCACTCTTCATCTTCCCTCCCCTTTGGCCTATTTTTAGCTGGCCGGCAGCATCCTAAAAGGCTTCCAGACCTCCTTGCTTTGCAACCATGTGGGGAGAGCAGCCTGGGGTGAGGGAACACAGAAGCTTGGCTGTCTGTCCCAGGACAGAAGGAGGAAGGAAGCCGCCCTAGCTCCTCCAGGAGGGAGCAGACGGGGGGAAAGTAGGACGGGCCTTCAGGCTCCGAGGGTCATGGCCTGGGGG